CCATTGGAATCGTGATAGGCGTATCTTTCGCAACATTTCTCTTAATGGGAATGTACTTTGTGATCAAGAAACGGCGTGCTAATATAGTCCGCACGATTGTAATTCAGTCTGATGCTTAAATCAGCAAACGAGTAGCTTGCTAGTGCTTCTACGAAAATCGAATATCCGATGCTAAATCTAAATTATAAAGATCTAAAACTACTTTTCTAATTTTTGTTGTTCATCCCTATTTCTTTTCAATTGCTACTGGTTTTGATTTTTTAGGACCAAAGAATATTTTTTTAGAGCATTAATGGGAGTCACGTAAGAAATGTTATTGTTTTGTAAAGTTGTTACGAAGGTTTTGAATGAAGAATGTTAGCAAAAGCATTAAACCTTGAGCAGGAACAGCTAAATTAAGTTCCTCAAGTCTCTCAAAGATTCATGATTGAATCAAAATCTACTAAATCAAGTCAAAACTGGTCCTTAATTTTTTAGTTATGTAGATATTAGAAAAACCATGATTAATTACAATCAGCAAAGCTAGAAAAATATCTGTAAATGAAAAAAAAAATTATATACATATTCAAAATGATTACACGTAATTTTTTTTAAATAAATTTTGGTCTATTCGGTTTGGATTGGTACACTAAAAACGTTCTGGAAAGTTTTGGTCCGTTTTTGGATAATAAAACCAAATACTTTACAAAAAAGATTGACTTATTTAATTTTTTGAAACTTGAATGATCTATTTTTGCCTTTTGGTTTAAACATTTCGGTTTGCTTCGGTTTAATTCTTTCTGTTACTACTATACTAGATTTTTAAACCCGCGTCAAATGCAAGATTATAATATTTCGAAAATAAAATTTCCTAATTTTTTATAATCTAAGGAAAAAAATTAAAAATTAAAAATATCAAATAGCATATCTCTCATATATTAGATATATTTTATCTTAAAAAATTTAATTTGCATGACACTTAGATTAAATATAAATATTTTTTATGTAAATCAAATACGTTTAAGATTATCGGTTCCTACAAACTTATCTGAGTTCACC